AATACGTTTCAAAATCGATCTTCAACTCAGTTTTGTTCTGGCTTTTGGTGAGTTTCTGAGATTTTTTTCCTGGTCTCTACCATGATGATAATATATAGTTATCCGTAAAACTAGTCTGTTAATTCACCGCTATTATTTGATGGGAGCCAGTGGTTTTTTGGAGACTAAATTAAGCGATTTTTGCATATTTTTGCCAATGGTTCCTTGATTTGAAACTGCAAGCGGGGGTAGCTTGGCATGTGTTGGTTGAGTGTTGACATGGGCATTTTTAAATTCCCCATCAGATTCTTCATCTGTTATGAGGTCGTCATCATTGGCATCGGTGTCATTCGATTCACAATGTACAGAAATGATAACGACAAGTCTGTAGAACTGAAGGATGTTCACCAATATGTTCTTGATGGTGAAGAAGATGATGGTATAGTTGATGAGATTATGATATACGAGTACGTATAATCTACAAACCATGAATGGTATCTCTTGCATAAAGACATTGGTTAATATCGCAAGGATTTCAACATTACACGGAGTTTTCTTGGCGTTATTTTGTGCTTCAATATCGGCATTATCATTTGTCTGTTCTCCAATCCCATCCGCATTGCTAGGTTTAACAGTGTTTGATTTAACATTGTCAATGTTGTTAGAGTGAGAAGTCAAAACAAATGTAAACTGAAGCAGCGATACAGTCCAGATTACCAGAATGACGTAGCAGAAGAGAGTATCGCCAATGACTATCTCTTCCTCGAAGAGAATAAAGAACTCCATAATATCACAGGCCATGCCAATATAGACCAATAAGAGCTGAGACAATTCATTCCGCGTGATGGAGCCCTTTGGGAGGAGCCAGCGACCGATGATCAGAAGCAACATTTGCGATTGTTCAATGGCCATTATCCATGTATCAGGTGGGATGGAGATCTGGAAGAAAATGATTTAATCCATGAATTGGTGTGTCGCTTCGACTTATGGGACGGTTCTTATCTATTCCCTTGTGTAGTTCTAGAGCAGAACAGAAATAATCTGCGAAAGCCTCTTGGATATTAGGCAAATCAACTTTTTTCCTCGATTACAATAGGTCGGAATTGATCAGAATGCCTCACATAACAGACTTAAACACTTAACCCAAACTGGAGCTTCCTCTTCGATCTAATAAAGCTGGTCAGCATCAAGTGAACGGTAACGGCCGTTACCTTCGCTTGATACTGACCAGTGAATAACACGACTTTATTATGAGAGATCACCTCAGGCGTACACTAAGCTAAAGGATATGGGGCATTTATTAACGTATAATACGAGTTAAGCATTCCCCTACACATCTTTTTTTTTATTTATTTTTTTTATTGCATCTTTCTTACACAAAACATTATACATAATATACATACAGATCAAATCCATATACATTGAATATTCAATAATATTATTACATATTTATATTTAACAGTTATACGTTTTTAAGCTTTTCAGACCATCTCCATTCGGGTACCATTTGAAAATACAATACATGCAATACGATTATCTTTCAATCGTATTGGGCTGACAATATTTTAATATAAAAGGGTATAAAGTAAAACAAAAAAATTCAATGCTTTAATCTATCTATAACCCATCTCCAAGTCTCGCCGAAACTTTCCAGTGTGCCATTTAAGTTTGCAATATTTCGTTCGTCATTGATTTTGTATTTTATGATTTCTTTTATTTGCATAAATGTTATTTTAGTATTAACGAGTCTTGATTTATTTATTAAGCTTTTTATATACAATATGCAAAAATTAATTGCTTTTGAAGTGTGGTCGCGTTCTTTATCTAATTTCCCGACAATTATGTCTTTAATTGTAAGATCAATATTGAAAAAAAATTTAAAGTCATCCCAAATCTTGGCAGAGTTTGGGCACTCTATGAAGAAGTGTATCGTATCATCTATTTTATCGTTTTTACAAAAGTCGCATAAATTTGAATTTTTTATTTTCTTTCGAGTTAAAAATTGGTTATTTGGTGTAACGTTTAAAACAAGTTTGTATTGAAGGCATTGTATTCTCGGTTCTCGAACCGTCTTAAAAGGTAATGTAAAAATGTGTTTCCAATCTTCTTCTGTAAAGTTTCATTTTGAATTTAGATATTTTTTCCCGTTGGGTTCTTTAAATAAATTATCTACGAGAATCCAATACTAGTATATGGTTTTAGTTTTTATAGATTTGACGTTTATTGTCGTGTTTTTGTTTTGGAGTTCTTCGTCTTTAAGTGCCTTGTTGCTTCGATTGTTTTTAAGCATTCCCCTACACATCAACATGTTATGCTTTTGATTTGAACTAATTCTTTCAATATCTGCAATGATATTCATCATTTTGAAACATACATGTAAGATCAAAGCCATATACTGAGTGCCCATGTGAAGAAGCCACACCACCTTGGTGGGGATCGAACCAACAACCTCCCGATTAGATCTCGAGTGCTACCATCAGATCGAGCTACAGAGCGAACTGACTCTCTCACGTCAGCACTGTATATATATCAATAAGCAGCCATGTAGTTTCCCAGACCCATCATTAAGTTTATTATCATATTATAGTATACTTAGTTATCATCTCTTGAATGACATTTTGATTGATTAAACAATTTTGATTTCCGATTCAGTTGATAATATTAACCGATTATGAGTTTTACAGATGCAATACTGTGCACATACATTTTCAAATTTCCCTGTTATTACACCACTTGATCGATCTTTTATTGCCATTTACGTCTGTGCAATTCGTACAACGCTGCTCATTGATATGCGGAATATTGGGTACTTCACAAACTTTATCTTACACTTTCTAAAATTTCTCAATTCATTTCATTACAATTAGAGAGCTAATTGAAATCGGTGAAATCAATTTGAAATTATTCCATTCCTGAACAATGGTATAATAAAAAATTTAAGCAAAAATTAAGACCATTTTCTTAGTTTTCTAATATTATGACATAGCCCATTCTAAAATATTGCAAAGGTAAGAATAAAACTGATACGCCTCTGGTATAGCGCAAATGGTAAATTATTATGCTTACCCCAGTTAACTCTGCTATAAGATCATCTTTACCATCAGCAGCCAACGTAACGTTTGGAAATTGTGCCTCAGCCCTGTATCTGTCTAGCCTATCTAGTTCTAAGCACCATATAGATGGCGCTGTACTCATCAGAAAGAATAAAAAGCTTGGGCAGAACCTAAAGAAGGAACCAAGGGAGTAAAATTAAACTAAGTCTTCATTCAAAAGAATTATCAGTTTGTTGTCACATATTTAGTGTAATTTGTTTCTCATCTCAAAACCTGTACGGTCACTTGAATGTCCAACACAAATCCAACTTTAAAAGGTGTTATAATATGTGTATCGAAAACCATCCTCTATCCACTGAATGATAGATGGTGGAATGTTTTGTTCCCAATATCACTTAAAGTGTGCGCCAAAGTTTAAAACTGCGCAGGCGCAGCGCTCTCGCTAAACTATATAAAGGGATTACCGGGTACACGATTCAGAGGTAAGCCAGGAAGGCGAACGATCCTCGTCTCGTGATGATTTCCCATATAATCGTAACCAGGGAAGTTTCACCATTGAAATTGAAAATTACTATTAGATATACTTTGTAGATGTTATTTATAAAGCTATTTAGTGTTTGCATCAATCAAATGGCTCATTTTGAACAAATAAAAAGTATTTGTGTTTTGTTTCCCAGGGAATTGTATTGTATGTAGTACACACATAAAAAGTGTACATTATACAGTACTTGAATAGCCTGGTTTACATAATATTGAAGGGCATGCTGATTACATACACACGAGTACATGAATGAAGGCCTAATATTGATATACGTAGCTTGCATACCTAAATTAAAAATAAACTCTTCTAATCCCCTAATGTAAACACGGCGGTATACGTAGCCCGATTTATCGGGGACTTTAAGTAATTTTCCAGATTTTTTCTTGACCCTTTAGCGTCGAGAGATCTTACCATTTCCATTCTTGTGCCTTGTTCTTGAGGAGGGTGACGATAGTCTCTATCAGCAAGAGACCCAGAGTTGCAGCGAAGTACCAGTAGTAGTTATTGGAGAGGATATGGGTGACTCTCAATACACAAACGATGCTGTGGATAGCAAACAACACACGCGTCGTGATCGCTTTAACTCCCCGCACACAGCCAATTCCTGTATAGAAATGGAATTGATTGAATGGCGATTTTGACGACGCGGATAAGAAGCACAAAAAGAATGCCAGTTACCTTTTTTAAAATAGGAAATGGGTCAATTTTGCCAAAAGGGGTCGTCAAAAAGGATTTTTGCATGTAGAATTTCCAGATCCATCCAGGAGTAGTGCCATTAGACCAGCAGTTCTTGAATTTCAAGATAGACAAGTCAAACAGGGGCCGATGGGTTCACTGTATATCCTCGGCTCACATGGGGTACCTTTTTTGACAATTGGTATGGCAATGGACCCAGATTTTAGGATCTGGTATGAGAATGACCCCCCCAAAGTATGACTTGAGGTATGGAAACTCTCACTTGTGGATGGCATTGGTCTAGTAGTTACACACATCCTTAATTTGAGGTTGTTTTAGATCGTGTTTCTCAAAGATCTGCCTTCTTCTAGGGGCTTCAGACATTTTGAATGGCCTTGGTCTTATATCTGGAAATTTGGTATGGCATTGGTCCTATAGGATTTGGACATTTGGTATGTTATTGGTCTTATATTTTCACATTTGGAATGGTTTTTGGTCTTTATTTTGTTGGTATGGGAACACGTTGAAATTTGACAGATTGGTATGAGAACATTAATATCTGAGGGTCCAGCCTAGGACCCCCGTCGAATATTGTATCTAGTGAACCTACCGGGAAACCGGGCATACAATAAGTAAGTCATTGAAGTCAAGTGGGATAAAATTTACCTGTTTGGCAGCAATCTGATTCAACACAACTCGTACATCTGTTCTTCTGTAGTATCCGCTTCTTTATTTTTATCCTCTTTTCTACTACTTGGTCGTTCACTCTGAGCTCTGGAGTTTCCCATTTTACCGGCTCACCTCGTTTCTTCCTTCTAAGTTTCATCGATTCATTCGGCGATTTATCAGACATTTTTAAATGGTACTAAGTGTGATATCACATTGAGATGTATGACATTTGTTTTGGATTTTACGATCGACTCACAATTAAAGTTGATCGAGTTAGCTACTGCATCTAAAATCTATCAGTCTATATATTTCCATTTTTATAATGGTTCATTAATTAGCACTGTCACGTATATAAACCCAGAATCGTCTTGTCCTTTATCTTTGATCGGCCAACACTTCAAGTTTATCACTGGGTTAGCACTATCCGAATCCTTCAACTAACATAGTACTAGAATAGAAGTATTTTAGAACGAGATGAGATTATTGGTTTACAAACTCCACTGCAACTTATAATATTTCATTGTTCTCCTAATTCAGCTCGTTTAAAGTATTTTATACGTGTCATACCCAACAATGTACTTTACGGGATTAATGACTTTGACTGCATACGATAATGGCGAGCGAGATTTATTAATAAAGAAATTGGCAAACAGTTTGGTATGCGGGCATTTATGCGATTATTGATATATTTAGTCTCACATGATCTGTTAAATAAAGGCCCCCTCACATGGACGAATCCACCAAACGCAGTCTTGCGATGTCAATTCTGTTGATTGGGAACGTAAACTTGCGAAACGAAGCACATCTTTGCGCGTGTTTCCGGAGCTTTCCGAATGGATACTTACACATACGAACGCCCCATCGATGTACAACGTACAAATACTAATGGGGACGAATTTTACTCAATTTCTATTCGCAAGATTGCGCTTAGTGGATTCGTTCATATGTGAGGGGGGCTTAATGCGTCATATTTGCTAATATAAGCGCAAGAAAGGGTTTCATATTTCTTGAACGATAAATACGTTTTACTGCGTGTTTACGTCTGGTATACGTTTTGTCAAATATTTGTATTTTTCGACACCATTGCCGAATTTACATGCATAATTTGCGTCAATTGCAAGTAAAGAGAGTCAAAGAAGTTAAGAGAGTCAAATAAATTCGTATCCTCCAATGCAGATGCAACAGAAGATACAAGCGCCCTACGTGAAATCCGTATTAAATTATGCAATAGCATTTCGTTCTATAGTAAGGGGCATCGGGAAGGCGCAGGTGAAGTTGTATGAAAGTATCTTACGTATTTTTTCAGTTATTGTTATTGACATATAGGTTATTCAAAATATGTTAATATTTTCGAACAATCGTGTTGAAATTTCTATTGACCACATAGATTCAAAATTGGAGCAATGTCTTCTTTAGTTTTATTTATTCTTCAACTCATATATTGTAATGGCTTCTGTATGAATGGAATGCCGCTTGGTGTTAAATGGGCCTGGATTGTGATTATGAAACTTGAATGTCGGGGATGGAGGTATTAGACATTGTTTTTTAGGTTGGATTATGGTTTGGGATAGCTGGGTTTGTTTTCCTTATGACTAGTGTACACTAAGATGTTTTCTTTTTTGCTGGGTTTTGTAACAATTTCTTGTTCTTTCCCTTTGGCACTCACACGTTCATATTCATCGATTTAGGTACACAAACAAACGCATTCAAAATAACATCAAAATTAAATCTTTTTGGGAGCATGTACCTGGATTCCATCTTGGTCTAACAATACTCCCAGTCAAAAATAAAACTGCCCAAAGTTGTTTTCGATACACTACGTGGTCCTATGTAGTAATAGGAAACAAAGTAAAAGTACTACATCTTATCTCGTTTCATAGGCATACTGCTCTCCCTCCATCCGTCCTATCCCCCTTCCTTCCAATTTTGATTATTTTCGATCATTTTTCAACGTATGTCAACTTATTTTATAAATTTTGCAATGACATTGATGATAACCTCACTTATAAGTATTTATTACAGGTTGTGTATAGCCTACCATTACTTGACTTGTGCACGTTGGTGGCGTTGCGCCTTTTTAAATAGATCTCATATCTTAAAAGCGTATAGCATCGGTTCAAAAGAAATCCAACCTAACATATTAAAAAAATCAAGATACATAATTACTATACCATGCGCCTTTAATCGTAAAACTTAAATCTTCCATATTTGTTGAATCTTCTAGCAGAAATCGACGGATCTCCCCTCTGTTGATAATCGTGTCATCAGTCCGGAACATTATTTATTTTGTTAAAACTTCTACATTAAAACATGTAGCTTTACGTTCCTAATATTGATAAGACGTTTAGTTCCAACCATGGACTTCTAATCACGTTTGCTATTCCAGTATGCTGTTGAAATGCACTATTTAGTTAGAGCAAATGGATAAAAATTACAACATAATTCTGTAAAGGTCTTCACGTTTCGAATTGACTTCTTGATGTTTTGTGCAAACTACAAAAATCATAATAGTCTTTCCTAACCATCCACGATTAAAATCTTGATTTTTCGGTAATCTATATTCTATTTTTTCTGTCGGATGTGAAGTCCAAGCTTGGCACTAAACGAATATAAATTGATGGAAACGTAAGTATTTTCCCGGGGATTTGAGCAAGGTGTTTTCCCGAAGCCCGAATTGGGTCAGGGCTTGGAATAAAATCAAGGCAATACACCATACGGATTCATTGAAAGTGCAACAGGTATTCACCAAAAATAGTAAGCTTTGAATATTTGTTTTATTATGCACTGTTATATTCACCACTTTCTTGCTGTTGGGAATGTCTTATAAGATGAAGAATTATTAGATTTTTTCGAACGACACATCTGCTGAATAAGATTGAATACGCCTTTTTCTGACGTCACATGCATAACTGTTCGAATAAGTCTTCTTATTTTTATGTCTTTGTGTATTAACGTATAGACCAATGAGAAAGTGGGGAATATGGCAGTGATATAATAATATTATATCATCTCACTTATAAAGCCACATGCCACAGCAAGTCAATCAGACAGCCAGTCAATTAGTCGGCCGAGCAATGGGCATTGAAATACATCTAAAAGAGATCGCAAAAATATCTAAAAATAATAATTAACCAGGAAAGATTTATGAACTCGTTTAATGGGACTGGTCAACAATTTAATGATGGTTTTAAGGAGCTGATGCTGGTATACAGTTTGTAAGTATATTTTTCTAAGTTGGTAAAGATTTGAACATATTTTAGGATAACACTTTATTGAACAGGGCAAACTGAACAACAATTTGCAATTAAAATTTGAACATACACTCCCCTCCATAAGTTTGGTCACCTTAACTCCCTCATTGAACCTCTTTATGTTTGAATTTTTATTTACATAACCAGTGAAGAAAATACTTATAATATAGATTGATATAATATTTTTTCCTCAATTACTATAGGTCGGAAATTGATGATAGGTAATGATATGGTGAACTGAATTCAACAATGTTTTTATTGAAAACATTTTGTAAAAAACACGTTCCTTTATGCAATGTTGACTGATTGGCAACAAATGTTTTTGTTAACATTTTTTTAGTGCAATTGTTTTTTTTTTTAATTTCTGTACCAATTCCTGAGAATGAAATAAAATGTCTTTCCGAACCTTGTTGGAACAAAATAGCATATACAACATTTTCTTAGACCTCTCAATATTATAGTTATACAAAGGAAATTTGGATTGATTTAACAAAAGGTATGCAAAAACTTAAAACAAAACCCCCCAAAATAGATAAAAATTAAGAAAAACCTTTTATTTCATTAACAAGATACTTTTTTAAAATCAACCAAACTATCCTTTGTACAATTACAATATTGAGAGACCTAAACACGTTGTGTTTATATCGTTTTGTTCCAATGAGGTTCGGATAGATGTTTCATTTCATTCCGAACATATGATACTAAGAACAAAAGATGTGTCCGATGTGTTTTCTAAAACAGTATAGAGAGAAGTATATATATATTTCAAATTATAATGTTACCATCCAAAAGATGAACATTAAATTGACCATGTGTAAAATTTTCAGAATGTTTTGATGACTGGTTTAAGAGAAACGCGTGTTCAAAAAGTTCACCATATCGATACCACTCCTTTGATGAATTTTTGAAAATCGTCATTCCCACGTCGGGGCAAATCCAATTTCAGGATATCTATCTAGTAAAAGATTCACCAAAAATATTTTTCTATAGAAAATTGAATTGTCTTACTTTTTAGGACTCTAGGTTTTCAGTTTACTTTATGAATACTAAAGTAACAGAGCTTCAAAGTTATTTTTGAAAATCATTTTTCGCCTCCTGTGTTATTTGAATCGGAGGAGTTTTTTGAAAAATAATTTTGACTTTGAAGACCTATAACTTTTTAAACCTGAAGAAACATATCAATTTTTTATTAGATAAAGTTAGCAAATTCAATTGACTACCTAATGTGTATTTTTGCAAGAAATCGGATGGGTGAATATTCTGTCATATAACTTGCGGCAAATATACCATTTCACATTGGTTTACATCGGAATGTCGATTTTATAAAATTCATCAGATTTATCATCAATTTTCGGTCTATTGACGTGTCGCAAAAAGGTGGCGCATTTGTTTTTTAAGGGTATCGCGTGAATGTAACTTTGATTCCCCGGATTATAAAATAATATTCTAATTAAAGTTATATATCATTTTAAAGCTGTTTCGATGAAGTTTTTAGATCAACTACACTCCGTTCACAATCTTGCGCGTTCTTTTTAAAAAAAGAGTTTTTTACCAAAACATCGGGCAAATAAACGCTCATAACTCAATATATGACTATATATGACTATTATACTTATTTTTCGTCTTGATAAAGGTAGATAGAAGTTTTATTTCAAAGGATGAATTTTAGTAAGCGTCCCATATTGTGACGTCATAGAGTTTGAAAAATAGAATCTGTTGACAGCGACCTTTTTTGCTCATTTTTTGTTACCTTCAACTTTTCATGAGGTGTACATTAAACAAAAAATACGAGATCAATTTTTAATAAATCATACATGATTATTTTGCTCCTAAACTCTAGTTTATTAATAAATAGTTGATTTTGTTCGCAAAAGTATGTGTTTTCTGTTGTATGTGGAAAAGTGGAGGACGAAAGGTTTTCAAAATTCATTAAAATAGGGCTAATTTACGCCATTCGCCTATTTTCAAGCACATCAACACGTATATTTATTTCACCTAAAATATCAATTGATTCGTGTTTTATGATGCTCCTAGCCCATTAATAATATATATATGATATCAGAGTTAATCGTCTAAAATGTTTTGAGATAGAGAGGTAAATGTGGAGGACGAAAGGAATTTCATGTGTGTACATTTTTCTCAAAAACGTCACATTCTATCATGTTAAAATCGAGGATCCTCTGGATTACGTCACAAAATGTGTAACAATGCGTGCGCGACCTTTTTGCGACACATCATTGTAATTGAAGAAAAATTGGGGAAATCTGGAGGCATTGGAAATGAAGTCAAGTAACGTTCCCATTAATATTATAAGCATTTTATTCACAGGTTATGTAAATAAAAA